CCCCCCCCCCCCCCGCCCCCCTCTATGCATTCTCCACTTTTTGTTTTGTGTACCGCTACGGCTGGCTGTTTTTTTTTTACTTCTTAGGTGTATCTACTATGGGATGGGCACGGGCATCGAGCTGCTGTGCGCGCAGGCGTTTGGGGCGAAGAACAACCGCCTCGTGGGAGTTGCATTCGCGCGAGGCACCCTGCTGACGGCATTCCTGTTCATCCCGGTGGCATTCCTCTGGTTTTACATGGAGAACATCATGCTCGCCTTCGGTAAGTTGCCTGCTTGGACTAGATAGGAGAGCAAGACACGCCCCGGCAAGCATCACAAAGAACTTAGGTTTCACCTACCTGCACGCGGGTATGACAGACATGCAGCACGGTATTCATCGCGATGTATGTTTCTTGTCGTCGTCGCACATTTTGCATGACGGCCACATGTGACAGTTTCCCCTCCTCCGTCGCCGCCGCTTGGGCGATGTATTTTGTCCGTCTGGTACTACAGCGATGGCGTCGTAACTTGATTGTTGTCCTGTTTGTTCTCGGTTCTTGCTTGCCTGGCAGGACAACAGGAGAACATCGCCCACGTCACTGGGACCTTTACCAGGGCGTATATGTTGGGAATGGCCCCGTACGCCGTGTACGAAAATCTCAAGCGATGCCTCCAGGTGCGCGCGTGCCGTGTTTGGCTTCCTATTATAAGTTGCATCGAGATGTACGGACTTGACGTGTGCGTGGACTAATTCTCGTGGCGGCCTGTGCCCGTGGTAGTATAGAAGGTGCGCGCCGTCGAGCGTTTTCGACCCACACGTTTCTCTCGTCGCCTCGAAATCTGGAATTGTACACTTGTTGTGCATATACCAACCGAATTTTCCCCACGCGCCGCGGCATGTTGTTGTGTTCGTTGATGTCTTGTGCTTACACCCTCGAAACAAAACAACACCGAGCAGGCGCAGTCTGTGGTGATCCCTGTGGCGGTCGTAACCATCTTAGGCGTCTTCGCTAACGTCGTCTTCCACCACGTCACCATGGTTGTTCTGGGAATGGGGGTTTACGGAGCGGGGCTGGCGCTCAGCCTTACCGGGATGTTCCTGTTGGTGACCTTGATCTCTTTCACCTGGATGTTCGGGTGAGTTTAGCCCCATTAGCCTGGTCCGGTGAAAACGGGCGTTCTCATTCCCGGCTTTGTACGGATGCGAGGTCAATAGCCTAACGACTACGGCGTGCACGGCTATATGAGTACACCCCCCATGCAAGGAACGACCACCTATTGTAGGAAATTCCCGTGTATGTAGCCGTGAACGGTTCTCCGATTCGAGAGATATCCCTTTCAGGTACTCACCTTTGTCTATTTCCCACTAATTGTTGACTTCAGTACATATGTTTGTGCGGGCCCAAACGGACTATGATAAAATATCAACAGCCAATGTACATGTAGACAATAGTGTGAGGGAGACCCGCCAAATGCACGTATGTCCAAGGGCATGGTTTTCGGAAGATGGAAGATGCAAGCGGTACGATGGGTATCCTGGTCATTTAAGGGTTGAAAAACCAGAACGTACGCAGAGCACGGCGGAGTTCAGTGAGGAGCTTGAAGCGCGTTGCCGGTGCAGTGGAACAGAGACTTTAACAGCATCACCACCACCCACGACGACCAGACCACATCGACGTCATCATCGACAGCAGCAGCAACAACAGCATCATCATTAAAATACCCAACAACCAACAAAAATGGCAACATCTAACACCCGATGAATACCCCTTTGATAACCCAGGCTCGGCGCGAGAGGTTGCTGGTCTGGACTCCTTTCCACGGACATATTTAAGCACTGGCCTGCGTACCTTGCCATTTGCATCCCTGGGTTAACCGGAGTGTTCATTGAGTGGACTTCGATTGAGGCTTCTATATTCTTTGCGGTAAGAAATGAGCCTATTTTCATCTCAGCTGATGTTGCCGTTGCGGCTCATGGCTCGTGCGTGTTCAAACTTGTCCTGGACCTCCCGCTTTCGAAACCTGTTTTTCGAAAGCTGCAGGTCTTCCGTGTTGTTGTCGTTGCTGATGGTGTGTGGTCGGTATTTATTGTGATTGTTGTTGAGGCAATAGCGGCAGCGGTTGTGGCTGTGGCTGTGGTTGTAGTTGTAGTTGTGGTTCTGGTTGGCATCGCGATTGACTTTGTTGTGGTTGTCTTTTGGCACGGTCTCATCTCCAAACTTCATCACATTATTCACCCGGCGGCTGTGTCTAGCCAAGAAGAAGACGTGAAGCGCCATGAGTGGCAGCATCACCCTCCCATTTCCCTACGAGGAATACGAATCAAGTTCCCTCTCGCACGAAATACGTGGTCAAGAGTTAAAGGTACGCGGCAAACGAGTACGCCGTCCTCCCTCCCCTAATCTCTCCAGGGGCTCCTAGGGGAGAAGCAACTGGCGACGCAGGTGCTGATCCTCAGCGCCTACAACATCGTCTTCCAGTTCGCCCTGTCCATCAACATCGGGTCCAGCATCCGGGTCGGCACCCTCCTGGGTGCCGGGGACTCCGAAGGGGCGCGTAAGGCCGCATGGTGCGGGGTTCGTCTGGGCCTGATGGCGGCGGCAGCGGCGGCCCTGGGATACGGGTTCGGACGCGCCCAGTGGCCCCTTCTCTACGGGGTTTCCGAGGACGTGCTCGGCATGATCGTCGACCTTACTCCGATCTACGTCGCGGGTCAGGTTAGACAGAGAGAGGGAGAGAGAGAGAGAGAGGGAGGGAGAGAGAGAAAGAATGAAGATGCACACAGAAAGGCTCTTTTTCGGTGGGATGTCAAACAATACCCCTCTTTCGGTTCATTCGAAGAGAGACAAGCCCAGATACCCTGAGAGACAAAGCTTCTTTTTGATTTTTCCATGGAGTGCTAACCGATACCATGTCCTTCCACGTCTCTCGGCTGATTCGTTCTCGTTCCATGTAGCTTGCAGTTGTTTTGTGTATCGCGGGGGGCACAGGGGCGAGGCACGAACGTCTTTGGCGCTTCATACCCTGTGCCGTCCCACTCCGACCAGCTGCCAACAACGCTCGACGGTAACCTTCGTTGCTGCTGTCGCTGCTACTCGAATCTTGTTGCTGCAGATGATTAACATGATGCAGATTGTGTGCAACGGCATCCTGAAGGGCATGGGCTACCAGCGCATCCAGGTGAGAAATGAGACAACACTGAACGATATCGCAACATTCAAGGATATCGCGGGCAGTTGGTCATGGCAGGCGCGGTCGATAAGCAGGGGGTTGGGGGGCGACATACATTCGAGGAAAACTGCAGAACGTCCACCCGCAAGAGAACGAAATCCAGCGACACCACACGACGTTGCTATCTGAAACATATTCGGCCGTCTCCTCTTGCTTCACGCAGCCCTACCTAATAGACACAGCAAGCGTGGTAACCCCACGAAAACGATTTTCCCTGCACAGGCCATTGCGGCGGGCGTCGGGTTCTGGGTGGTTGGCGTTCCTCTGTCGGCCTTTCTTGGGCTTCAGCTCGGCTTCGGGGTGAAGGGCCTCTGGATAGGGCTAGCCGTCGGGGAATTCCCCCTCGTCCTCTTCTACCTTTGCTTACTCAGGTACCATGAGCCCCAAACTGAAGTGGGACGATAGCATTGCTCTTTATTACTTGTAGTTCACCGTCCTTAGAATTGCGAGTTGTCACCGCATTCACAGCCCAGTGGTTTGTACTTCTATTTCGGAAGCGGGGTGTACAGGGCCTGTCCTATATAGTGCTGTGGCGCACCTCTGGTTGGTAAGCGAGTGACCCCCCATGCATATCGAAGCGACCGCGACAAGCGCCGCACGTCGCAAATGCCATTTACAAAGTTAGGGTTTCGTCGCAGACTATTTTTTGCACGTGTGTTATTTCCGAGGATGTCGCATAAATATCCATGGCCGGACAATCGAGAGCTATCTGTCTCAGTACAACCTGGCTTTCGCATGACATGTGTTGGGTGAACGAACATGATTGACGCAGGTAGTCTGGGACTATGAACTAACTCGTCTACATCGTATTACTCCGTCTTTACTAGGGGCACGAGAGCGAAGTCCCCGCGATGTTTCTTGGTGAACATCACGCACAGTCCAACCCGAAATCATGGTGCGCGTTTCGTCCGGTGCCCGGTAGTTCTCAGAACGTGGAGAAGTGTTTCTCATAAATTTAAGAGTTTCTAATGTCCGTAGAAAGTCTAAGTCCCCCCCCCCCTTCCCCGCAATTGATTTTTCTCTCTCCTAGATCGGCCGACTGGCATCAATGCGCGCTAGACGCCGCAGAGCGGGTCGATGAAAATTCTGAGTTCGCCCTGATCAAGATGGACCCCCGCAACCTTCCAAGCGACTCCGATTCTTCCGAGTCTTCGGATTCTGCTGATTCCGATTGCGACAGTGGCGCCGGGGGGAGAGCCGTCCCCAGGTTTCAGGCAGAAGGCGGCTCGGAGGACGAGGAGGAGGCGGGTGGGCTCGAGGATTTTTACTGTGGAGGCGGTGGGAGGGCTATCGTCCGGGGAACTAGCGGCGGGGAGAGGGTAAAGACGGACCACACGGGGGAGGAGGTCAAGCTTGCAACGATGGTACCTTATCGCCATCGCGATCGTGGCGGTATGTACATGATCGTGTGATGAGGGTGGCGTGGGTACGACGTGCAGCCCGTGGCGCCCGGCCGGTCTCCGACATTTTTGGACAACATGCGATGGAGTGGCGCACGCCATCAGGTAGATACGTTTGGTCGATCTCGTGTGATAAATGCTCACGCTACTTGATAGGGCACGGCCGTAGCCTTAGCGCATCAATTTCTGCCGAGCGCTCGATTGATCATGTGAGACAAGCATCTGTCCGTGTGATAATTCGTGCGGATGATTGGCGTGTAGCCACCCTTGCTGCCTCGCCCAATTCAATGTGGCGATCGATCTGGAGCGTTTGATTGTGATAGAGAAATTTGGGGCATGCATGCATGTGTACGGACGATAGCACCCGCCAGTGAGTTTGTTTTGTTGCTGTGGCGCTGACACGCGTCGCGACGCACTTGATACGGACACGCTTGGTGCTGCGTCGTGCGTGCCATTGGACATCACCGGCGGCCACCAAGGTCGTGATGATGATGTGGAGGCCACCAAAGTGATGTGGAGTGAAGTGCATGAATGAGTTGTTTGGTGCGTGCTTTCCTCTCCCGCGTCGTTTCGTCCCGTCTTGGCAGCTGGAGGAAACGCTGATAGAAACATCGTCGTCGCAGATTTTTGGCGTTTGTTTCAGATTCTAGACGCTACCCCGCTAGTTTTGTGCCACAAGGTGCCCTGAATCTGAGTATGTTCAGTGTTGTCTGTCCATGTCTACTTTTGCTTCAGTTTTTTTTTGGGAGGGGATCATCGCATAATTATTTTCATTCTTTAATATTGTTGCAATTAATTTCATTAGTTTTCTCGTTGGATAAGTTTTGGCAGCATAACGTTATGTATAGTTTGAGAGTGTTGTAGTAGGTTACTTGATGTCCACGAAGGCCCGAGGGCCAAGTTCGAGGAGCACGTGGAGAACAGAGTACGATAATTGGCTCGTGACATTTTGGGGGAAAGTGCCCGTCTGTCACACCACACAGCCTTTTCTCATTGGTAATGGATTCATAGTCTACAGTAGAATGGCAGCGGGAAAGGCTCCAAATGTCAAACAAGCACGCTAGGGTTGCTCGTTGGTGCTCTTCTAGCCTAATGGCGTCCATTGTGGGGTATGCTAGAAGTCGTACCAACGGGAGTTTAGCAGTAGCCTTGGCAGGAGCAGCGAAAATGAGCCATTTCGAAGAGTTTCAGAAGCCCAAGAATACCAGGCCTTTAGAGCCACAAGGTTACAATCAATCTCATGTACAAGTAGCTGTTGTTGGCAGGAAATATTTGAGAAAGATTTCTTTCATCGTTGCCGATAAATAAGAAGACGGATGCAGTTCTCGAGGTCTGCAACTCTTTTTACAGTGGTATAAACCTCAAAGGCCGGATAAATAGCGAGGTGGCACCCCAGCACAAAATCGAAAGAGCGAGCGCGTGTAGCTGTGTTGTTGTCGGTGGTGGGTGAAAACTCAAGGGTGGGTGGTGAGTGGTTGTGCGTGGTGTTAAGGGAATTCCGTCAACACTGGTACAGTAGTAGGTATTTTTTTGTCCCTGACGGTCTTCATGTTGTGTGGGTGATGTTGAGTTTGTGATGGCGACACCCGCTTGCTTGTGTTTCTAGGTTTGTGTGCGTTTGGTGGGTATTTGTTTTGTTTGTGTGTGATGCGAGGGGGTTGATCGGTACTCGGTACGGTAGGTTAGTGTTGTCGATGCCACGTGTTGTCATCATCCGTGGCGCACGGTCGTTGTACGTTGTGTGTGTTTTCGCAGCTCCTCGGTGATGGGGCTGATCATAATTGTTTACCGTGCATGACCAGTACGGACATGAGAAGGTACTGAGCGGAGACCGGAACGGTAAAAAACAACAACAACAATGTTTAGTGTGGAGGCGTTTTCTTGGTTGACGTGAAAGGGACCTCTTGAGCACGGCGTGACAGTGCTGAGTCAAACGCTTGAAACGTCGCCACAGGTAGGTAGCATCTTCGAGAGATGGGACCTACATGCATATGCCGTCCATGAAATATGTCCATCTTCAACAAGTCGATCGTTCTCCTTCCCGCGGTACTGTAATCCCAGCACTATCGGCAGCGAGCGATACTTGTTCGTAAAGTACGCCCTGCGGATTGGTCAAGCACCCAACAACTCTGAAATCGCTTCGTTCCCCCTCGCCTAATCAAACTTCTAGAGGAAATGCGAGCATCATGTAGCGCACCAATTAAGGTTCTCGACTTGACGGCTTTTGGGTTCATCGTCGAACGCAAACGTAGGTACATGCACTGGTTAGATGGTGCTTCGTGATCCAAGCTTCGTTCGCCTTTTCTCCACACGCGCGCCCCACTTGCCGCAGCAATCTACAATTGCACAGGACATCGACCCCCCTGCTCCCCAGCGACATACATCTCCGTACTTCGCATCGATCTGCGCGAAGAATTCAGCGGGTGGAAGCGCAAGCCCAAAAGCTGACGACCGGTACGACGTAGCTTGAGGAGGGCCTTCCAGGCACATGAAATACCAGGACAAATATATCCGCCCTGGGCTCCCTTCCATCCCCTTGAAAAACCCGAAGTCCTCCGCCCGCCAATCTCCGCAAACACCTCGGGATCGCTCATATGCCGCTTGCGGACACTAGAGTACGAGGATGTTTAAAAGAGTATTTCGAAAAGGACCATACGGCCACCATCGCACACGGCACCCCCTCCGGCCCAGTTCTTTCTCCATCCTAAACCGCAAGATGCGGCCAAATTACGGGCATCGGGAATCAAACAGATAGATGACGTCCTGCATGTTGTTCACAAGACTTATAATTTTCGCTGGGCTCTTCGAGTCAGCAACACGTCAGCCGCGTGAGCTTCGGAAACTTCACTGAAGGCACCTGGCAGCTCATTCACACCAACACGTGCTGCACGTTCATCTTGCATCACACGTTGATGGCCCTACTAATCCATTCGGAGGCGCGCCTTGTATTCAACTTTGCGTCTTTTCGCCGTCGCCGAAGAGCTCTCGCTCCTCGCGCGCCAACTCCTCCTCGAACTTGCCGGGCGTTCCGCTCGCGGCCGCAGCGGTAGACGCGTGCGTGCTGCTCCAGGGGTCTTGCTCGGGGGCCCCGGGGAACGTGGGTGGCGGGGGAGGGGGGGTTACATCGCTGGTCTTAGTCTGCGTCGCCGCGGAAGAAGCCGAGGCGGACTGCGGAGGGCCGCTGGCGCCGCCGCTGAACGGCGGGCCTTGCCCTGAAATTGTGACGGAGGTGCGTTTTCGGGGGAACGTCGGTGTTGCAATGAACAAATTGCGGGCGAGGGACTTGAGTGGGATCGGGTTTCATTTCACTCACGTCTGCGAACCTTTGTCGAAATGTTCGGTAAGAACGGCGTCGCAGGCTGTGAAACCGATCCCTCCGGCATTTCCCACATCAGTGCAGCAGAAGTGCACCACCGTTTCTTAGGGGGGCAGCTTCACGAGCAACGACCGCAGCAATCAAGTACGGGGACTTCCTTCGAGTGAACCGGGCCAGCTACACCTGCCGTCCCATTGCCACAAGTACCTCGTCACCAACGACGATGTACAATAATATCATGCGCTCTCACTAGCGCCCGCCGTGCCATTGCCACAACTGCCGAGTCACCAACAACAACGTCCTGTAAAAAAAACATCAGCTCATACTAGCGCCCGCTGTGCCATTGCCACAACTGTCGCGTCACCAACCACAATGTACTGTAATACCATGAGCGCTTACCAGCGCCCGCTGTGCAATTGCCACAAGTACCGCGTCACCAACAAACGACGTACAATAAAACCAGGAGCGCTTACCAGCGCGCGGGACTTGCGACGCGACGAAGGACAACGCTTGCGAAGCCAGCGCGGCCACGTTGGGCGCCGTCTGGGCAAGGGCTTCCGCACCCGGGACCTGAGGCAAGGAACGCACGAGAGAGGAAGAGCAAACAACGACACAGGGTAAAAAGTCATTCGAACGTCGGAGTGAGTTACTGAATGAATTTGGAGAGTCGGTGCCAGCGGGGGCTGCCAATGCAGTGAATATAAAGCCGTCGAACGGCTTCGCGACAAAAGAAGAGTCAGGGCTTAGGAGGCATGGACATACGAGCCAAGGGGATGTGAGACACAAGGGTTGGAGTGAGAAGGGGCCGTAGCTTGCTCCGATGGAAATCAATCCGTCGCCGGCCGCCGTGGAATGCCGAAAGGCATTCGACAACCAACAACCGCGGAGAAGAAATTAAGGTCACTTCACAAGTCTTCTCAAGGCTCACTGCGAACCACGCGCGTGGTGAGTGCAACAAAATCAATGAAAATATAATGGAAAACCTCCTCTTGATGGGGTAGAGAATCATATTGGCCCAATGCTGTTTTCTCGTATTTCACCCTCTTAGGACGTCCAATGTGGCAAGCGCAGATAGGTAAAAGGTGGAAAGGACGGAGTTCTACCTTGGGCGCCAATCCCGTGCTGAGCTTTCCAGGAAAATGAGGAAAAAGGAAACAAGTTCACTATTTTCATCGCTTGCTTCCACCCGTTTGTAGTTTTTTTCTCAAAATTAACAGAAGATGGAGGAGAATAATTATGTACCTGAAGATCGACCATATCCTCGTCCTCTCCGGTTCGTACTGAATATTGGGCCCTATTACTATGTTGATGTTTTCTCTTCACGAGCCGTTTTATGTGTACATTTTTTCCTGTTCTGTATTGAATACCACCGAATGCTTAAGGCATTGAACAGAAAACGTCGCCGTTCTTAGCGAAAGACAGCAGGTTACTGGAGTATGCTGAGAAAAAAAAATCGCAAAATCCAAAATACGTAGCTTACAATTGCATGAACAATGTGACAGCTAGTGAACAAAAACTCGTCACACACGGATCACCTGCTTGGAAGCTTGTTTCAAGAAAGGGCCGGCCAGCGACACGGCCGCTGAACTCAGGGATGTAGCCACGGTGCCCAGCCCAGTTGCAACGTCTGCTGCCTGGTACAACACAGCGTGCGCGATGAACGAAGCAAACGCAAATTCAGGTGGGGGGCGAGACAAGATGGAGGTGATATTCAGACGCTTCGAAGGCATGATTCATCTGCTTCGCTTCATTATATACGCTCGAAGTCAAAGGCGCAACTCGTGCTCGAAGGAAAGAAATCAATGAACAACGGCACAAGCGGGGCCACTAAGCGAAAGCCGTCGTATATTTCTCCCTCCACACGCGTTTCGATGCCAAAGCATCGGAACCACAACAACACAGCAAACACCATCACGGTGGCGAGGAGGACCTGCCAGTAATCCATTCCACACCCCGCGGTTCGTCATCACCCGCAGCCCGTGTTCGTTCAGAAAAAGAGAAAACAAATCAAGGGAGGAAAAAAGGAAAGGAAGCTTTTCTACCAGCGTTCGTCAAGTCTGCTGCCTGTTGCTCTATCAAGCAACCTCGTACACATTGAAGCGAAAATATCCGGGGAGCACGGAAGCAGTCAAGTGGTTGCGGCACAATTTCCCACTTCTACGGAACGAGGGGTTCCCACGTGGAGGCGTCGTCACACGGCACCCGGCATGGATGCTCGCAGCTTCAACGAGGCATGTATCTACTGCAGGGTAACGTCAACAAGGGCCGTTCCAATCGCGGAACGTTGGTGTCTTGCTTGCTGCGCGGTGCTGTAGGAGTCGCACAAATTCACGCTGTAGCAATTATGAAAAAAAAAAGAAGCCCAGAACGCGCCCGCACTTAAGAACCCAGGAGCTGAGAAATTGAGCCTCACAAAAATAATAATTTAAGAACTGGAGCACCAGTGGTGTGCTCGGTCACGAACCCCTAGACAAAACCTATATTGCGAACATATCATAGCATACCTAGGAACTACTGTAAGAACCTCACCCTCGGCCGAAGCTAGAGGTTCTTAACCGCGGGCGTGTTCCGTACGTGAGATCGGAACGGTTTTTAAATGTGAAGACAACAACAACAACAACAACAACAACAACAACAACAACAACAGGTGTCTCGTTCATGCATCATGCGTGTGTACGTACGGTGAGCGCACAGGAAGTGCACCAACAAGGCTCACATTCTCCGGAGCAGCCGCGAGAATCTCGTAGTCCAACAGGAGGCGGTCCAAGAAATCCCTGGGAGAGTTCCAACGGCGAGCCGTGGCGTGTGCAAATCATAAGGGCCACACAATCAAGTTTCCGCGGAGAAATCAACATCTCACACTATCCATCCCACGGGGTCCCCGCGTGCGTGCTCAGTTTCGATCGGCTGAAGTCTGATTGGTTGACGGCTAACCGATTACGTTCCGAATGGGCGCTACGAGCCCTTGGACCCCAGAATAACCGTCACCACGCCGTGGCGACGCAGATGGGCGTGTGACAGAATGTGGATTCCTGCCCATTTTCCCCTCCTCCAACGTGCATACATAGCTGCCGAATACCATAGTCCGAGCAAGGAAATTACCCCGGTGGTCTATAACGTTATTGCCTCTAAAATAACAATCAACCGGGTGTGACATTGTATGTGAGAGATGTGGTGTATTATGTTGCCGTGTTACTTGGTCTGAGAGTAGCTCGTTGTTTTGAGCTCGTGCTGACACGTATAAATGTGCTGACGGGGATGTGCTACCACCTTAGTGTGGTGTTATCTTGCGTCCAGTCGTGCAAAAACAACGGCACCTCCACGGTCTGCCCAGAACGCGAAGGGTCAGTACAGACGGCCCGTGCATGTCCCATAAGATAAAAATCGCAGCACGCCCTCGGATGACTTGACGAATTCGTTGTACGGACGCCGGCAATTTCGACGCCGGTCAGATGATCAACCCATAATATAGAGGGAGGGACTGCTGTTAAGATGAAACTCACCACGTGTCCTTCAGGCCCTCAGACTTGTCCGTCAGCATGTAGAGCTCTGCCGGCGTAATTTTCGACATTATGACGAACGAGATAAACGGAAGCGGGGGAGCGCATACCGGGGGTGGGATGGGATGAGGTACACAAGATAGCGAGAGTAAATTGTGGGCGTGAATTTTCAGGAAGACTTAGCGCAGGCGTGTATGCAGACAGTGCGCCGGGTGGGGGCTTGTTCATGCGTTCAGAGGCAATGGAGTCATAATCCATGATGCACCACCTCCGGAAACGGGGGAGCGTAGGATCCGTCTGCTCGTTAGAGATGGCACGTTCCCCCAACACGTGATGGCTCTCCGCGTCCATGCCGCACCCAAGGCGATAAGGTCTCGCTTTCCTCGTCCGCTTCCCTGCCCCGCCTGTTCTGGCTGCCGCAAGAGGAGAAAACGACAGCTATGCCACTAAACTCTCTGGATTCCAAAGGCTGATCGGCGACGCGTGGTACACGAAACATCCCGAGCGAGCCGTTACCCGTGTGGAGGAAAACACCAGGAAATGCATCAAGCACCAAGCCCCCCTACTCTTCTCTTCGGGATACGCCTGTCGGGGCACGAATCGTTTATCAACCTTGGGATAGTTATCTCCATATCTGGCCATGTCATTCATATCGGGCGCCGTTGCTGGGCAACGCTTGACAGGGCCACTAACAAAAACGAGCAACAACACGACTCACCTGTTGAGGCGTACATTCCAGCGATGATCCCCCGCTTCCCGTACCAGGAAAGGTCCGTGGAACGGTCCCCGCCGAGAAACGCCAACTCGTCCGCCAACACCGCCACCGCAGTCGCCGTCGCCCCCGCGTTTTGGGGCAGAAGGCCGATCGACATGGCCTGTCTCGACGAAGAAAATGTTGTGGGCAATCACTTGTTGGAGACGATTCGTATGGTATCAAATCGAGGCCCCTCGACGGTACTGTAGGTTGCAGAAGATATCCCCCCCACCCCGCCCCCATAATGGTGGTCGAGTAGATCATGTTGTGCGGGGTGGAACTCCGCACAAGGGGGATGATCGCACCACGTTGTGTTAAAATGGTCAAGCACCCTCGAGGCAGTTACAC